GTGATAACATAATAGGGGCAACACACCAGGGTATATTTCTTGAATACTTGTCAAAGACAATATATAGGTAAAATTATTTATACCTGTATAAAAAAAAACCAAGGGATCTCAATCTCTCTATCTCTTACTTTCTATAGCAGACAAGCACTTTAGGTTCACATAAGTAAAATAGGTACGTTCTTTCATTAAAAAGTAATATCTAAAAATTTGCATTTGAGAATTACAGAGTTTTCTTTTCAAAAATTGTTTTAGGGAAAGTAGCTGAGGGTATCAACATGTACTGTCGGAACATATTTGCTTACTGCGCATGTCTGAACTACCTGATGCACTGGCAATACTGGTGATGGCATGTTCCATCATATAATACTTGTTACAAATCTACATATAGCTACAAAAAGTTTCACCGGGAAAAGTGTACAAAATTTCTGTTCGGTTGTATTAAAGACAAAAGGGCATACAGACATTCAGAAACAAAAAGTTTTCCCAAAAATCAACAGTAACATGGGTTAATTGCATCAGTAAAATAGTTAAATTAACCTATCCTACCACCAAATATGTTTTCGTGTTGAAAAGAAATGTATAAAAACACATTATGTACCGATATTCATCCAAGTATTTTATAGCGTGTGAGTTCACTTGGTGTAAACCATAAAAATGTTCTTCGATCTAATCAAACAATTCAATTGAAAATCTACACGAGCTTTGGTTTCTGAATATATCATAGATGGAGATTTAAACAACTACAAATTCATCTTTTCCCTTTTTACAATTATTAAGCTTCTGTAAAGTGTTTAACAGTACAACATATATGTCTCTACTCGACAAATGTTGAAATAAATTTCAGTAAGAAAAAAAAAAAACTTTGAGAGGGCAGAATTGGAGTCCAGGAAGATTAAACTCGAGCACACCACCGAGTGACCAAGCTGCCTCGCAACTTCGAGTTCTGCATAATCTTTGGAGCCCTTCAATGTTATCTTCATGTACAAATTCTGAGACAATTTATTGGTTATAATTCAATCAGTTCATCCAAAATGAAAGTAATCTATAATTCGTAGACACAACAACTCAAACAAATCCTTTTCACTGCAATTACACAGCTTCACTTTACATTCAGGCTCTCCTGAAAGAAAACGAGCGAAAGAGCAGGCAAGCAGCAAAGGGCTGTTTTTTTTTGCTTTTTTTTTTTGTAACCAAAGAAACGACTGCGAAACGTGAACCTCTCTTCCAAACTTTCCCCCGTCGTCCTTTTTTCCGTTTCCAGTAACTGAAAGACTAGCACAAGCTCCTTCACGTTTTATTTCCAGACGATTGAAATGAAAACGGGATTTAAACATTGAAATCACGATGGGCATGAACTAAGGCACGATTTCTTTTTAACTGATATGGAGTTTAACCTACCACATATTTTGGCTGAATTCTCTCACGTGACTAGGAGTGCTCTATACCGACTTAAAAATTCTGACATTTATCCACCTCTGGAAAGTTTAAAGTAGCTCTCTGCCCAACCATGTAAAGGGTGCGAAGGCAAATGAACATCAGTCTGAATCATAAAAAATTTCGGGCACCCTATAATAGTCATTCAAGTCTTGGTAGAGTCAGAACTTCTCAGACTCCGCCGAGTCATCTTCAGTGAAATGATTTGGTTCTTGAGATGTCGAAGTAAGTGCTCTTCCAAATTGTACATTTGTTTCAGCTTTTTCATTATTATATTCTACCGAAGACGGCGGAGTTCTCAAAGGCATCGGAATGCCCAACCTACGGAGTCTTATCAGGCACACTCGACCAGAGGAGAGAAAACAGACAGCTTCATTCTCTTCAGGGGACACCGCCATGCTTGTAATTCTTTCGTCACCATGTGCTATTTTTGTGAATCCGACAGCTTTGGATTCGCTTATGTCCCACAGAAGACCATACCATCGATACCGAAGGAAATGAGATAACGGTTTTCCCTAAGAAATTGGAAAAAATCAATTCTACCTAGATGGCCGTCGAGAACATGCTTTGAGGAATTGATTTGAGAAGCATGAAGGCTATACAAAAGAATTCTGTTGGTGATGCAACAAATTAAAAATTCATCGTTCAACGAAACAGAGCACCAACGGAACTCAACAGATTGGTAAGGCTTCTCAACTCCGAGTCTGGTCAAAAGG